TAACCAGGTCATCGGAAGGCCGCCGTTTTATGTGACCAAACCATCTGTGGTGACTCTCTCTAATCATATCTTCTATTGGAGTCATGGTTTAAAATTGCGCAATATGAGGCTCGCCTTGAGGCCCGCCTTTGCGCAATTCCAGTAAAAAACGCCTCGATGCTTACGCCTCGAGTTTTTGTTATGAGGCTTGCGCCTAAACTTGGTTGAGGCCCGCCTTAAGGCCCGCCTCGCCTCACTGGCATGAGGCTTACGCCTCACGCTATATATATTAAAACTTATATAAATCTTGAAGTAAATGCCCGACATTTGACTCTATAGGAGAGGAGGAAGGGGAGAGAGCAGTTCATCATAATGATGATTCAAATGAAGAACCCCTTAGTGATGACAGTGCTGATGATTTATGAGTTCTTATGTGATATGTCATCGCTATTTATTTTTAGAAATTGGAATTATATGTTAATGAAAAGAATACTGGGATTTGGGAAAGATAGCATTTTGAGTTGAACTATATTTCATGTTGTCTTATTATTCAGATATTTTGATTTCACTTTATATCTTATGCTTTTTTATGTTTTATATTATTCACTCATTAGTATTTAAAAAATTTATCATTTTATATTTACGCAATCTTTTGATTTTGAGGCTTACGCCTCAAAACGCCTTGAGGCTTATGCCTCGCCTCACGAATGAAAAACGCCTCAATACCCGAATACGCAATTTTAAACATTGATTGGAGCTACTCCAACCTTTTCAAGTATATGCTCATTTCGTATCATATCTCTAAGGGTAAAGCACTCATCCACCTGAGCATCCTCATCGTCTGTCACACTTAACTTAGTATTATGGCTTCTCTTTTAATGGCAACATTCGGCACCATAAAGAATTGTAGGCCTCACCACCATTTATAGAATTTTCCCTTAAGTTTGAGGGTACTTTCTATCACACAACAAGCCCGATGCATTCCTCCACTTAACCATCCAACTTGAATTCTGCTGATAATTTCTCATCTATATCACCATCACTCTGAACAAATGATCAAGATATCTAAAACGTGTACTCTTATTAATGACTTGATCGTCCAAAGTTTCACAATCCCCTCACTAGGTCTACTACTACTAAAATTACACTCCATATTTCCGTTTAGATCTACTCAAGTGAAATCTTTTAGACCATAAGTTTGACCTCCATAATTCAAGTTTACCTTCAACTCCCTCTCTAGTCTTCATCAACAAGAAGAGATATCATCAACAAAAAGCATACACCAAGGTACATCCTCTTGCAATTCTAGTGAGAACATCCATGACTAAAGCAAAATGATATGGGCTTAAGACTCGACCTTGATGAAACCCAACGAAATAGGGAAATACTTGGTCAAACCACTTGCGTATTGAACACAAGTAATAGCTCCTGCATACATATCTTTAATGATTTGAATATAAGCATTATTGACTCCTTTCTTTTCAAGAACTCTCCATAGCACTTCTCTTGGAACTTTATCATATGTTTTTTTTCTAAAGTCAATAAATATCATATGTAGATCCTCTTTATTTTCTCTATATTTCTCTATCAAACCTCTTAATAAATGTATGGCTTCCATAGTCGACCTACCCATAATGAATCCAAATTGATTTTGAGAAACATTAGTATCACGCCGCAAACTATGCTCCATAACTCGCTCCATAGTTTTAAAGTATGACACATTCACTTAATTCTTCTATAATTCGCACAATCTTGTGCATCACATTTATTCTTAAAAATAGGAATTAACACACTCATTCTCCACTCATCTGCATCCTATTAGTCTTCAAAACAGTATTAAAAAGTTTAGTAAGCCAAAAAATTCCTTCATCTCCTAAGCATTTTCACACCTCTATAGGAATATCGTCAAGTCCAACAGCTTTTCTACCCTTCATTTTCTTTAAAGCCTCTCTAACTTCGTTTTTACTAATACATCGATAAAAACAAAAATCTTTATTTTTATTTAGGGTGCTAAGGTCACTACAGTCAATCTTATTTTCACAATCTTCATTAAAATATTTTGCAAAATATCTCATCCACTTTTGTTGAATATCATCTTCTAAGAAAAGTATTTTTTGATCTCCATGCTTAATACACTTCACTTGAACTATATCCTTACTACTTTTATCTATTTGTTTGGCTAACTTATACATATATCTTTCTCCTTTCTTAGTAGCTAATATATTATATAAATCACTAAAAGCTAAGAACTTTGCATCGCATATTATTTTCTTAGATTCCTTACGAGCCTCTTTATATCTTTCTCAATTACATAATTTTTGTAATTAAACAAATTTTTATAACAAATCTTCTTATTTTTAATCTTTTCTTACACATTTGGATTCCACCACTAACTATTTTTACTATTAGGAGCTTTTCTCTTTGATACTCCAAGTATATCTTTTATAATATTCTTAATATCACTAGCCACTTTTTCCCACATAACATTAGCATGCATAGACAAAATCTTAAGATCTAAAATCTTACTCTCAAAAATATTTTTGTTAATATTATTTAAATGCCCCCATCTAATCCTATAATATCATTTTATTTTATTTTTTCTTTTTTGTCCCTTTATCGTAAAGTCCAAAACTAATAATCAATATTTGTTACATAAATTTTCACTTAAAATAACTTTACAATCTATGCAATTTAAACGATATAATTTCCTTATAAGAAAATAGTCAATCTGAGTTATACAATACCCATTTTTATAAATGATGAGATGCTCCTTTCTTTTCTTAAATAAGATATTAGCAATTAAAAAATCATAAGCTAAACAAAAATCTAATATGAATTTGCTACCTTCATTTGTCGCTCCAAGTCTATGGCCACCATGAATGCTTTTAAAATCATCTACCTCTCTACCAACATACCCATTTAAATCTCCTCCAATAAAAATTTTTTCTTCAAGAGGTATCTTTTGTATTAATTCTTCTAAGTCATTCCAAAAATTTAATTTTGAACTCATATCCAAACATACTTAAAGAGCATATACACTTATAATATTAACAATCTTAGCATCAACAATAATCTTTAAAACTATAATTATATCTCCAATCATATTAATTTTTATAATATTTTCTTTTAAACTCTTATTTATAATAACACATACACCATTTCTAATATGACTCCTACCAGAATACCATAGTTTAAATCTTAAATTATCAATTTCCTTAGCCTTCTCTCCAACCCATTTAGTTTTCTGAATGCACAGAATATTTAACTTCCTATGAATCATAATATCTATTAATTTCATTAATTTTTCTGTAGGGGAATCTATATTCCATGGACTAGCTTCTTCACCCACATCTGACCTTGATGTGGGAGTCCTTGCCTATTTAACAATATAGTCGGGCGCTGATGCAGCGGCCCTTGCACACTTGTCACTGTATTCAGGCCATACAGCGCGTCGATTTCAGGGATTGCCCTAGCATTAACACAATTTCTTAAAGGATTCATGTCATTATTATTCGACAAGTTTTATGTTGGTTGTCGACTATCTAACACAACCCTCCACTTTTCTCATCCAGGACTTGGGACCTGGCAACGACAGTGTTTCAAATAGAGTAAATTAAGTTATTCATAAATTCTTAAACATATTTGGATATGCATAAATGTATTGGTCCAAATTGATAATAACTAAGATTTTATAAGAATACATAGGAATCTTTTTATTAAGCATCACATGATGTAATACAAAAATAGATGATATGGAAGTTTAACTCATTCCTATGTAATACAAAACAAAACCATAAACCACTTAACATAGCAAAAAAAAATTAAAAATTATAAGTAAAAATATCATATGCATAAGATATTTCAAAATAAAGAAAAAAATCAATTTTAATATTTAATAAGATAATGAAATGATAGAGTTGCACGATAAATTTAAAGAGTCTTGTTCAAAATCAAATAACATACGTTATGCAAAATGTTAATTACATAATAAAGCAAAAGGCCCATGGAAAAATAGTATATGACTCTATCTCCATAACAAGCATCCTATGGGATCGAAAGCAACCCATGATAAATTCGAGTCAGAAAATTTTCTCGTGAAAAATTGATTGCAGTTTAGTGATCATTCCTATTTTTGAACTAGAGGACCCCTTTACTCTAGCAGAAAGGACGTTTGTAAGAAAAAAAAAAGCAGGGTAGAATGTCTAACTTCTTCACCGGAGATGACAGACGAGGAACATCAATAGCTTTTGATCAGAAGTCATGAAGAATGGAGGCACGAGCTTGCAATGACAATATGAAGAGAAGATGGTATGTGAACCCTCCTATAGATAAGGATTTCCAACCCACTCGGCAACAAGGATGCATGAGAGCTTCATCATAATCCCATAAAACCCATTAAATCGGCAGAACTACGGGATACATGGTAGGATATGATTTATCGTGCTTATTTTTTATGTTTGGCAGGATTTAACGTAAATCCTATCTAAATCCTCTTAAAACCTACTACCAAACAGCACCTTATTTTTTCTCATTGACAAATCTTGACAGCATTCCAATATTTCTAAAGATATTATATCGGGTTATCGGGTTTTAACATCCCTTTAAATAGATCGTAGTAAGAAAAGAAAAAACTAACACACTAGTTTATATGCCTGCCGCTTCACAGTGACAACAGTTCATCAAACCTTCAAACACTTTGAACAGCATCTCAAATATACTTGTAGTCAGCGAAGGATTCTACATTCGAAGCAATGTATATTGCAACAATATAAGCATTGTTAGAGGTCGGAAAAACAAAGAATTAGTTACAGAAACATCCGTAGATATTACTGATTTTTATGTGCACACTTATAAGCTAAACATAAAGAAAAAAGTTCTTTTCTGAGTAAAACGTAGTGAAATTTTAATTCTGTTTTAAGAGAAAATAAGTTTCTGATGCCAGAGCAGGAAGCCTCTCAATTAAAGGGTGCCTTCATTCTAACAGAAATAAAGAAGAAGATTGGGAAGAAATAGTAAATCACAGGATAAAACGATGTGATTGAGATGAATCATAGGCGAGTCTCTCTAATGGATATTAAGTTGGTGGAAGCCGCAGCCGACGGCGTCGGACAGAGAGCAGACGGGGTAGTAGTTGGGTGTTGCAGAAGATGGACTTTCTTTCTCTTCTTCTCACGATCTTGTTTTCTCACAGAAATCACACGCACGACCAAAACGCGGACGACTGTACAGAAACCCGGGCGAGAGATCAAGAGGAAAGCGCGAGGAAAGCGCGAGGACGATATGAAAATAAATAGATAGTTGAGAAGTTAGGGCTTACAGCTTACTCGCCTAAATGGACAAGAAGGTACTCTGCTGAATTAGTTTGCATAGTCTAGCTCATATATCTATTTGTGATAACATTCTGCTTGCATCTGAAATCTTTGGAGAGTTTAATCTTAAGAAGGCTAATAAATTCTTCTGTGCCAAATTTGATATCCATAAAGCTTTCAATAGGATTTATAGAGAATTCATTCTCAATCGGCTTCTCAAAAAGGTTTTCCACCTCAATTTGTTAAGTGGATTAATGTGTGCATATGGATGTTTTCTTCTCTATTTCTATTAATGGAGCCTTGGAAGGGTTCTTCAATTCTAAAGCTGGTATTAGACAGGGCTGCCCCTTGTCTCCCTATTTATTCAGTATTGCTATGGATGGGCTTTCCTCTCTGTTTGAGGAAACTACTTTGAACAATCAATTTTTAGGTATTTCCAATGAGGGGCTAAATATTTCACATTTGTTGTATGCTGACGATTTGCTGGTTTTTGGCAAAGCCAATTCTCAGAATGTCACCATATCTGAGAAAAATTCTGAACTCTTTTGGGTCCTATTCTGGTCTTCACATTAACTATGCCAAAAGCTCCATCTTATTCTCTAAGAACGTTCCTGATGAGGATTCTGTCTGCAGAATTCTCGATGTTCCTATCTCTAATGTCCCCCTAAGGTATCTGGGACTCCCTCTCTTCACCAAAAAGCTCAATAAGATGGATTTTCAGAGTTTGTTGAAAAAACTATATTGTCATTTGGATGGTTAAAAAGCAAAGACCTCTTTAGCCGGTAGAATTCAATTCATTAAATTTACTATTTGCAACATATTGGCCTATTGGATAAGAGATGCTATAATCCCCAAATCATGTTGTAAAATCATCTATAACATATGCTCTAGGTTCTTATTTTTTGGGAACATTCACAAGAAGAAACTCCATTTAATTTCATGGATAGATACCTGCAAGCCCAAACTGTTTGGTGGCCTTGGAATCCCCAATATTGAATCTCTCTACCATGCTTTTGGGTGCTCCCTGATTTGGAAATTTTTTTCGTCTAATAGCTTACTTTCTCACTGGTGGAAGCTTAAATATATGTCTTTGTGAAATTTAGATTCTAAGCGAAAATTGGCTTACTAGAAATTTCTTTGTGAGGTTTCTATTAAGATCAAAAGCTTTATTAATCTCTCTATTTAGGGAGATTCTTCTCTTGCTTTTTTATGGGACCCTTGGTGTAAAGGGAAATATGTGATGGATTTGCTTACTGATGTTAATTTGGAGCATACTGTCTATACTTACTCCACAAAACTGGTTGGTAACTTTTTTTTGTGATGGGTCATGGCAGCTTCTTGCCTCCCTCCCCAATTTTGTCACTACTGCAATCCTTTCTATCCAGGTGTTTACATCCAGCAATACTTGTCGTTGGAATGACTATGACAAACCCGTCTTTAAAAAATTTCAATTTCATTTTTATAATAAAATCACCAAAGTGAACTGACATTATTTTATTTGGCATAAAAACCATGCTATTTGGTATTCGGCTTTTGCATGGATGGCTATTAAATATGGACTCAAAACATCTGATTTGCTTATTAAGAGAGGAATTCCTGCTTCCTCTACTTGTATGCTATGCTCTGCTGAACCTGAATCTCACTCACATCTGTTCTTTGAATGCGATTTCTCTATGAAATTTTGAAAATTATCATTCCTCATTCTGATTTCTTATTGATGAGGCTGACTCTATTCCAGTTATTTTCACATCTTGAGGAAAGGAACATCTGTAGGAAAATGAAAAACTTTTACTTTCTTATGACTTGTACTACTACTTATTTCATTTTGAGATAAAGGAATGATAGGCTATTTGGCAATTCCTTTAAGAATCACTTGCATATAGTGGACAAAATTAAGAAGGTTGTGATATTTAAAACTTCAAAATGGAAGAGTTTGCACCTTTTTCAACACCTGTTATGCTGAATGTTTCGATTCGGTTTTGTTTTTGTTGGGTTACTTCCATCCAGTTTTGGATTGCTCGTTGCTTTCTCTTGATTTTTCTGATACCCGTTGGAGGGTCCTTGCTGGGCAACCATGGTATTACCAAGCTGCTATACTCAAATAGAGATGTTTTGATGGACAATGATGAATGCAGGCCCCCACCAGTTGCTCCTTTGGATGGTCTATTAGCAACCAGGAGGTTTTGATGCTCAATTCATTGTGGGAGGTTCCTTTTTGGGCATTCTAAGTCCAGCCCGGATTTTCCCCCCTTCCTTTCACTTTAGTTACTGTATTTTTTTTTTTTCATCTCACCGCTTTTAATTTTTTTTTTCTCTCTAGCATGTGAAACTGTAGTTTTTGGTTTTTACAGCTTTTACTTGTAATCTCTTTCTTTATATAGAATGGGCTTCTCACCCCAAATTTTCCAAAAAAAAAAAAATTGATTCACCTTAATGTTACTAGTAAATTTTTTTTAAATATATAACTATGATATAATTTAATTATTAAAACTAATTTATTTTTATAATATTTTAATATAATTTAAAATTTTAAATATACATTATTTTCTTCAACTCAATAACCTTTAAAGAAAATAATACTATTCACCTAAATTGAGGGCAATTTGCTTTGTTCGTTATTCATCTAAATCAATAATGAAGTCATTAGCATCATCATTCTCCATTCTATAAGTATTCTTTAAATATTTTGTGTGATTCCCATCCTAAAGGCTTCAAAACATTCATCTTCACATACAATCCCATCCATCTAATGACATACTTACATTAAGGATTTATAATGAACTCAAAAGTCCATAAAATTCTATATATATAGTGACCTTAATCTCTTAGTTGATAAAAACTTTGTCACACACCATGTATGCCTTAAAGCATTTGAATCAATCTATCTCCCTATTATCTTTAAATAAAGAGAGAGTACCTTCTAAGATTTTAGATGAATATAAAATATATATTTCTAAGGCTTATATATTTTAAATTTTTTAAAAAAGTAGAAAACTTGCAATAAAGGTTGGTATATATTTTACATTTAAATACAAACTATTTGCCTCCATGTTTACTTGTGCAAGTATTTATTCATATGTGTCTTGCAGGTTACGATCAGATTGAGCGAAAGGAGGATGTACTCCTCCCTTAGAACAGCTCATTCGAGGGACTCGCTCAAAAGCTAGAAAGAGCTTATCACTGGAGTATGGCGAATCAAGACAGGTCACATACTCCAGACAATTGTCCCCGAGGAAAAGTGACCTAAGAAGTTCATCTTTCAACTAAGCAAATCTTTATTCATCTAAGGCACCACATCACTGTTTTGTTTCTCTCCAGTGTTGTGTATCGGGTTGCATGGTGCATCCTGATTCGCCTTCGGACAGTCTGGTGACTGTACGCAATAATTTCTCTTGAAATTGAGTATTATTGCATCCTGGAATATTCATGGCATTAGAGAAATAAAAAGTTTACTATCTTAGCTTTATACGAAGATCCAACATGCAATCAAATAGAGAGAGTGTGCAATATTTATAAGAGACACCAAGATTTTTACATGAAACCCCCAAAAAAGGGGGACAATCATGGGTCCTAGCACAGTTTGAATGAATCCACTAGTATTTCTAGTTGATTATAAATGAGGCCCTTCATTGGGGGAAGGCTATCACGACCCGGCCCGGTAAGCTTGCAAAGACGAGGTGGCAACATATAGTCGTACGATAAACATTAAAATCTAACCTCCATTACAACATAAACATGTATAATGTTCATTGAAATATGACATAAAAGAGTCATTAAATCACACACACACACACACACACACACACACACACACACACACACACACATACACATATATATATATATATATATATATTATTTTCTCTTCTACAAGTCTTCAATAACATCAAACACTAAAATAAGTCAATACAATAATTTCTAAGTTCATAAAATATATAATATATGCCTTACACACACACAACACTAACTGAAAGAAAAACCTGTCACTCCGTTTATATCCAATCCTACGACGCTAAGTAAACTATCTTTCTACCATCAGTTCCTAGATAGTTCTCATGAAAATGAATCCCACAACAAAGGATGAGCTTACTTGCTCAACAGGAAATTAATATTTCCCATAAAAATTTCATTAAACAAAAATAAATATTTTTACATAAAAAATGAATAACAATCAGGTGAAAACTTTAAATAACAACCATTACTGCATAAATTTTAAACCCTTCTAAATAAAATTCTTTTTATAACCTTTTCTCAAACATAAACTTCTAATGTGCATAGAAACAAATATAAACCTTAATATACATAATATTTACTATAACACCATCTCAGAGGTACCCTTAGAGGTTGTACTGATCATATATATATTTTCATTTATTTGGTCATTTCTTTACCATTGGCTCTGAAGAGCCCCTTTATCATTTGGGTACTCCGCATCAACATATATAGTTTCATATCACAAACTTATAAACTATTTTTTAGTCAATCATATACTTAATGAAAACTATCATGATTCATAAATTATAAGATTAACACATGAAAATCACGAATAAACTATAGCATGTAAGCTTACTAACATATTTAAATAAAGATACTTTACTAATAAGTTATTTTCAAAACATAATTCATAAATCACATAACTTCAAAAACTTTAAAAAGAATTTGTATTGAATATAAAGAGTAGAGCAACAAATGAAATTTTTACAAGAGATATGAGTAACTACCTTAATACAAGTACATAAAAAATCGTGGTGTCGCTTTGACACACGTCGCTCTCCTTATTGATCACAACCTAACATTTAAATAAGACATAAATAAATTTTATATTCCTTAAAACTTTTTCCTCATTCCTCCTTTTAAGAAATAATTAAATTAAAAATTTATTTTTGGATTAAATAATTATTAAAATATTTAGAAACATTTAAGTCATAAATTCCCTTCCAAAATCATTTTAAATCTCTCCTTAAACCTAATTTAATAATTATCTTAATCATTTTTGGAATTATTAAATTTAAAAATTATGAAAAATTCAATTTTTGTTAAAAACCTACTACACTTAAAACATTCCTAACATCATATGAAATAAAAATTATAAATAAGTTTGCTTGAAATTCACAAATTAGGAAAAAACAAGAATTTTCCAACCCCAAAAATATTTGGGGAAAACATCATTTTTTGTGGTTAAAATATCTTCTCTATCCTTCCCTATTGATTTCGTGAAGAAATATTAAGTTTTTATCAAACCCTAGATTTTTCTCTTC